TTTTATTTTTTCACAATTTTATTTTGTGATTTGGAATTTTTTTAATGATTTTTCACTTTATTTGACTTGTTTTAATTGTTTAAAAATAATTTTCTTGATTTTTAAATTCTGAAGAAAAAAATATGGAAGGGTCCAATGACCTTTTGACAAATATTGGTGACCTCATTTTATTTTTATTTTTGATTTTACTATTTTTTATAAGTTTTGTTTTATTTTGCTTATTTCTTTAAATTTTAAAAATAGTTTCTGAATTTAAAAAATTCTGAAAATTTTTGTCAACACTTAACTCATGTTTGACTTCTGATATTTTTTTAGGATTTTTATTTAATGTTTTAATATATGTTGTGTATTTTACCAATTATTCCCTTTTTAAATCATTTAAATTTTGTTTTATATTTAAACCTATTTAATTATTTTGATTGGTCCTGATTTGGAGACACTTGATTATTATTTTGGGACAAGTCCCTCGACCTCATTGGATCTTGGATGTTGATAGGTTAAGAAACCAAATCCACCAAAATGGATGAATAATGATGATATTTGAAACCCTAATTTCATCAAATACATCCCCCTCCCTCTTCATCTTATCCCTTTCTTGTTTTTACTTGTGCTACATTTTTTGGAGGATGATCTACATATTATTTCTCTAACATGTTAATACATAAATTGTTATTGACCGACCTTAAAATAGGTGTGACTTCTATATAAGTCAACTTACGATTGCTTAACATAGCGCTAACTTTGTCTCGATTCGAAAAATGATCATTTATGGTCCAAACTTATGTTTGTAAGCCTAAGTATGTTTAGTTTGAAACCTTTAATCCAATAACTTTGAAGTTCATTGTTAGTAGGCTTTTATTCTATCAATCCTCTAATGAACTTTTGTCTAAATGAATCATTTGAATATCGTTGATCATATGTGGTTGCTTTGAGCACTTGAAATGAATGATACACTTGACAAAAAGCAAATGAAACTTGTTGTTGAGAAGCTTTGATTTTATCAATCTTCTAATGAGTTTTCAAATTCAAGCTTCAAGATGGTCATTCGACTAACCTTATAACTTTTAACTCACTAACAACTAACTTTACTTTATGCCTTTTTATTTTATGCCTTTACTTTTATGTACCATTTACTTTTAGCATTTACATCTCATGCTATTTTTCTTTTGTTCACTTGAGCACTTATCTTTATATCATTTTATCTTTGTTCATTTTAACTTCCATTTTATTTTGAAGATACTTAATAATCAATTTGAACATTAAAAGTTTTAAGGTTACTTGGACTATCTTGTTACTATCCTTGGCATTGTGGAGTTGTGGACCTCTTGAACTTAGAATTTGAAGCCTTGATACTTGGGGACCTTGTTGCTCTGTTTGTTATATTGTTTGAAGTTCTTAGGGTTTACTCCAAGGCATTGGGTTGATTTTCTTTATGTGTAGGTTATTCTGATTATATGCTTTATCTGTGATTAAGAATTCCTCTGTATACAACCATTATTCTGCCCAATTTTTGTGAAGACTTAATTCTGCTGAAGCTTGGTATATCTCAGAGGATTAGTATTTTTGCTTGCTTGGTTCCAATCCAAAGGATGAGAATTCTACATTGACTTCTTTATGTCAAGTGTTGGCTTCTTGTTGACTAGATCATTCTTTTTCTTAGCTTTTACCTTATGCTTTAGGATAGTCCATTCATCTCCTCTTATCTTCTTTAATTTCAAAACTCTTCTCCCTCCTTTTCAAAAACTCTTCTTGTTTTCTAACTTGAACCACTTTCATAATAAACTTGGACTTAGGTCCATGCATTTTCGAAAATCTTTTTCTTAATCAAACATTAATCAACTTAACCATACTTTGACATCTCCCCAAGACTATAAGTCAATTAACCTCATTCTAATAATTTTTGTCACTTTGGCTTTTTTACTTTAAAACTTCTTTCTCAAAAGATTAGACTCTTGTCGATTCTTGTAGTGATGTGAGCTACTATACTTCTATGATATGTAGTAAAGTGAGATATTTTCCACTTTGATATTGAGTGAGGCTTTTTTGATTTTAAAATCTAAGCTATATCCTTCACTTTGAGATGATACAAATTCTCCTTTCTCATAATCGTGGGTAGTAAGTATATTTTACACTCGGATATGACGATGATGTCTCTTCTCTTAAAATTAACCAACACACTTGTATTTTAAATTTTTTGAGGTGAACTATGAGTACTCTGATCCCCTATTGAACGGAAGGTGGTACGTAAGCACTAAATGTTCACAACCGCGACGAGTGCAAAAATTGTAAAAAAATACTTCTTTTCTCATCTCCGCCATCTATTTTTGTATACACCTTTTATAGTCAAAATACACAGATATTGAAAGAGGTTCCTGAGGAGTACCATAGATGTTTAGGGTGCTAATACCTTCCCTTTTTATAATCAACCCATGTACATAGATTCTCTCCCCTTCTTTTTTGGGTTTATTCGCTCTTTTCCCATTTCCTTTGTAAACAATAAAGCGCGGTGGCGATTTTTATTTGATCTGTGCGAGTTAAGTCAATCCAATGACTTAGTCTCAACATTTCTAACGCTACAGGTTAGATAAGATTTCTTTGAGTTTTAAACATTTTTCATTCAGAAAGGAATTTTCCTTTTCTAAAAGCAGATTGTCACCTTTTTATTTAAAAACTTCTTTCTTCAGCTTACCATATTCTTCAACTATATATTCATGATTCTTCTGAAGGTTTTTGAATTTTCTTTGAAGCTTATGATACTTGTTTAGAATTTATGATAAATATAATTCTAATTCAGCACAAGAGAGTTCAGAAAATATCTCTTCAGAGTCAAACTCTATTTCTGGTGTATATCCATCTGATGTGGAGGCCATGAATTCTATGTTGACACATTCTTCTTCTAATTCTGATTCTTCAGGGTCATAATGATCTCATGTTGCCATGATACCTTTCTTCTTTTCTTTGAAAGTATTTTTCTTGAAGCTTTCTTTTCTGGTGCTCTCCTTCTTGAGATTTGAACATTCATTTTTATAGTGTCTAGGTTCATTGCACTCAAAACATGTTACTTCATTATTGGCTCTTCCTTTATTAGATGCTTCTGAATGATCTCTTCTGTTTCTGAATCTTCGACCATTATTTTTTCTTTTCTTCTAGAGTTGCTTAAATCTTTTGGATAGAAGTGATAATTCATCTTCATCATCAAAAACATCACCATCGGATTCTTCAAACTCTTCAGCATGAAAGACCTTGTTCTTTTCTGATTTTGATCTTTCTGTTCTAGACTTCAGAGTAATAAATTTATTTCTCTTATGAGGCTCATATTCTTCTATCTCTATCTCATGACTTCTAAGGGAACTAACTAACTCTTCCAGAGTTATGTTGTTTAGATCCTTAGACAACTTCAGAGCAGTGATCATAAGTATTCATCTTTTTGGAAGACTTCTGATGATTTTCTTGACATGATCGGTGGTTGAATATCCTTTGTCCAGAACCTTAAGTCCTGCTACCAAGGTTTAAAACCTTGAGAACATAGTTTCAATTGTTTCTTCATATTCTATTCTGAAGGCTTCATATTTCTGAATTAAGGCTAAGGCCTTAGTTTCTTTGACTTGTTCATTGCCTTCATGTTTCATTTTGAGAGAGTCAAGTATATCATTTGTTGTTTCTCAGTTTGTAATCTTTTCATATTCATTGTATGAGATTGTGCTGAGAAGGATAGTTTTGGCTTTGTGATGATTCTTGAAGTTGCGCTTCTGATCTTCATTCATTCTATTTAAAGGAATAGGAATGCCAGTTTCACTGACTGGTTCTTCATAACCATTTATAACTATTTCCCAGAGATCAATATCATAGCCTAGAAAGAAACTTTCAATTCTATCTCTCCAGTAGTCAAGTTTCACTCCATAAAAAATAAGAGGTTTAACATTGTATCTATCATTATTGTTTGTGTTAGCGCCAACCATTTTAAAAAGGTTTTTCTCAAACTGGATCTCTCTACATGTTTAAGTGTTTGATTAGAAAATCAATAACAGAGCGGGAGATCTGATACCAATTGAAGGTTGAGAAAAATACAAGAAATGGAGTTTGAATTGGGTTTTAAAAAACTTTTCGTTTAGAAGTGCTTTCCACAAAAAATCAGATTAGAAATCAATGTTATAGAAGAGAAATAATGACAAGTTCAATTTATACAAGTTCATCTAGAAAAGGCTACTCTTGTCCATCCGCCAAGGTGATTTCGCCTTAGAAAAGGAATTAATCCACTAATCTTGAAAGATTACAAATGAACCGGCTACTTGTCGTTGACTAACAACAATGATAACCTGCTAGTGATCCCTTAAGAATTTTGACCTACCTGGTATCCTAAGAGATATAACGATCACTGACTCTCTAAGGCTTCTGACCTACCCAGTCCCTCGAAGGAGAGTTCTCTTTGCCTTAGAAAAGGACTTGATCAACTTACAGTTGAATAATGTGTTTACAAGTTTGCTTCTAATAAACGGATTACACAAAGTTTAAGTTCAAAATCTTGTCTTCAGATTAGAAGCATCAACTTTTCTAATGAACAAATCTTGACTTCTGATTCAGATGTAGAAGTTTTCTTTTGATGTATTCAGAATCTTGACTTTGTCTTCAGAATTAAAAGCAACAACTTTTCTGACAAACAAATCTTGACTTCAAACATTTAACTTGAAAACTTATTTCTAGTATAGTCTTGATTTTTGATTTTGAAATAGCAACTTAACAAAAATCCTTTCTTGAACAACCGTTTGTTGAGAAGTACACACAAAATCCTGTTTATTCATATTTAATAAGTTTAATTAATAAGATATATACATATATTTTTTATATATAAGTAAAGACATTACTACGATTAAAAAATAAATGATATGATGGTTAATATTTAAAATGGGAAATGTTAGTAATGAGATAGTTTGCGAATATAACCGGCAGAAATCGTGTTGTTTGTTAAGTGGCGGAGATTGAGTATCTTCCGTGTGGTGTCCATGGCCACTTCCAATCTCTTCCACCAAATTCCCCAACCATTTCATTTTCCTACTGCTTGCACCATTTTCCGGCCACCCGTCAGCATCCGTCAGTATCCTTCTGTTAGAGGCAAAACCAAAAAGCACAGAAAGTGGAGAATTAAGCTGAGCTTAGTAGAGCAGAGTCGACCAAAATCTTTGGAGCAACTGGCGGCGTTTCTGTATGACGATCTTCCTCACCTCTTTGATGATAAGGGTATCGATAAAACTGCTTATGACGAACGCGTTTTCTTTCGAGACCCAATCACTAAGCATGATAATTTGAGTGGCTACCTTTTCAATATTTCTCTTCTCAAGACACTCTTTACACCCAAATTTCACTTGCATTGGGTTAAACCGGTTTCTTTCTTTCTTTCACCTTTCATTTTCTTATGTTTAGTTTCTTAAATTTGAGTGATTAAATAAATTAGGCTATAGACAGGTGCTTATGAGATTACTACAAGATGGACTATGGTTATGAAATTCACGCTACTTCCTTGGAAACCAGAATTGGTCTTTACAGGAACATCTCTCATGGGCGTTAACCCACATAATGGCAAGTTTTGTAGCCATCTGGTAAGCTAAGCTCTTCCAACTAATCACTAGCTCTGTCATCCATTGTTTTCACCTTTCTAATCATCAATTACACACAGGACTTTTGGGATTCACTAAACAATAATGATTATTTTTCAGTTGAAGGTTTGTGGGATGTTTTCAGACAGGTACCATTTTATTTCACTTGTAAATCTTATCAAATCCACTCTCACTTGTTACTATCGAGATTTGATATTTTGCAGTTGAGGATTTACAAGACACCAGATTTGGAATCACCCAAATATCAAATATTGAAAAGGACAACAAGTTATGAGGTCAACCTTCTCATTCTTCAACATACTGTTTTTGCATTGATATGTTATACTCCCTCTCACCATTATTATAAGCAAATATTCTCTTTTTAGGTTCACCTTTTGTGAAAACCGTACCACAAACACATCAAACATTAAAACAAAAGGATTATATTCATGATTTATCAACCGCCACACTGGATTGGATTTTGACAATCATACTTGAATGATTCATATTTTTTTAATGGCATAACAGGTTAGACAGTATGATCCGTTCCTAGTAGTAGAAACCAATGGAGACAAGCTATCTGGGAATACTGGCTTTAATGATGTTGCTGGGTAAGATTTTATACATCAAATAAACCTATCAATTATTTACTCTTGGGTCTCTATTTCATTTCAAATAATCCGTACGCAGATATATATTTGGAAAGAATTCAACAACAGAAAAGATACCAATGACTACTCCTGTCTTCACTGAAGCCATTGATCCTGAATTGTCCAAAGTTTCAATCCAAATAGTTCTTCCATCAGACAAACAAACAAAGAGGTATTTCTCTGAATTTGAAAGACTTTTGTTCCAAGAGATACATACATATCCATTCTTAATAAAGAAATGCAGTTATTTGATTTGAGCAATATCTTTAATTGAATTAAGATGTATCAAGCTTACAGAGTTAGAGTTTAATCTTTTGACCAGTTTACCAAATCCTAATCAAGAAACAGTTAGTGTGAGAAAGGTAGAAGGAGGCATTGCTGCAGTAATAAAGTTTAGTGGAAAACCCACAGAAGATGTTGTTCTCGAAAAGGAGAAAATCTTGCGTTCAAATATCATTAAAGATGGTCTTAAGCCTAAGCCTGGTTGTTTGCTTGCCCGGTACAATGATCCAGGCCGAACATGGAACTTTATAATGGTATGCTAAAAAAAAAAACTTTTTTCATTGTTCTCAATTGGTTCCCTCTGAATTTCAATCCTCAAATATTATTTTGTTCTAATGCAACTGAAGATGAACATGGTTAGCAATGATGTAATCGCTTTATTTGAAGAGTTGTTACCACAAAACTAATATTTGTCAACTTAAATACTGACAATTGATTCATTTATGTTGTGGTTTTTGACATTGAAGAGGAATGAAGTGCTCATTTGGCTAGATGACTTCTCATTGGATTAGTATTAATGCAGTACTCATGACTTCTCTTCATCAACGACACTGCAGTACTCATGACTTCTCTTCATCAACGACACTCCAGACAGTAAATTTTTCCTTCTTAAATATCATTTTCCCACACCAAGTTTTTCTATCTTTAAGTCATTCTTTTTTGTCTGTCTGATTACATGAAATGTAATGTTATAAATCATCTGTAGGTTCAAGGAGTGATGTGTGGAACCAAAAACAGACATTTAAATAACTATAGGGACAAATAAAGTGCATGTTCGTTGGTTGTCACTGATCAAATTGTAAAAGAATAACAATGTACTACATTAAGCTTCCACTTATTACTTACTATCCGCAGTTTTTGTTTTTTATTTAAGAAAATGTATCTGCAGTTTATATAGAACAAAAATCCCTTGTACTCCCTTTGATATATTTTGGTTATAAAAATAAAAATAAAACCTTATTTTATCTCTGTATCCAATTTTAAGGGAGTTATTTTAAATTATGAGATATTATTTTCTTTCTTGTTAGTAGAAGTAGACCTTTTATTAATACTATTCATTCACCTTGAGAGATGAAAAGTTTAATTATTGGAGAAGAAATCTTTGATTTTTTTTTATGACAAGCAGTCATTAGAGAATTATAGAAGTAAATGAATATGAGATATTTTGTTAAAAGCTATAAAGATAAAAATCAGAACAGTAAATATTCTTATTTGAAGAAACAAGATTCAGATGATTAAACATTGTTGTTACTCTCCAACAACAGTGCCATGTTTGATTCTTTGCTGCTTTTTCCAACTTGTATGCTGAATTGTAAAGGCAATTGCCAATGAGGCTAGCCCCAAGTCTGCATCGCACAAGCAGGTAATGACTGATGCACACACCCTTATCATAAATTCACACTCCCTCTGTGGCATTCTTGTGCCAGTACAAATTCGACAACTTCTCATCTTGTTATATAACCACCAACTGGTCTCTAAATCCAACTCAAACACACCACAATTCATTACTAATTCCATTATCTTCTTTTCAACTCACTTGCATTTCTTCATTCTCAGCAAAAATGACATCCATTTTCATGGCTGTTGCTCCAAGTTGCATTAAGAGTGCATGCGGTGAAGGTGAATGGTTTGGTTATACATTGGTAGCTTGCGTTCAAGAAGAAGATTATTACAATGGGGATGGAGATTCATGCAGGGAAGGTGACGACGATGATGATGGGGACTATGATTATGCTCCTGCTGCTTAAACTCTAACCATAGTTAGCTAACTAGTAATTGTATTTATTAACAAAAATTCTGTTCTTAAACTTTTGTTTAATTTGGACCTCTCAATCCAAGAGAAGACCACCTGAGTTTAGTAAGCAAAAGCTAATTATTATGCTCATAGATTAATAGTCTTGAGCAAGCTAGTAAGAGTGAATTATTTGATCCTTGGGGTTACTTTCCTACTTAAGCAATAGGCTAATCTGAAATGCACTTGACTAATTTATATGATCAGAACTCTTGTATTGTTTGTTTCATCATCTTGCAATTGGTAATGTCACGGCTTCTCTTATTCATATTAAAGAAAACGCTCTCTGAGAGACTTGTTTTCTTAACGGGTTATTAAAGAGTCCTCCCTTAAAAAAGGATATAGAGTTATCTAAAAATGACTTAAGAATTAGTGTTCCTATTTGAAACAATGTTCTTGACATCCCATGAAGATGTATCACTTCTTTGTAAAATAGATAATGCGACAAGCATCAATTACTTTTTTTTGTATGGTATAAAACGTGTCATCTTAAAAAATCTCTCAACAACTATAAAAATATAATTTTTTTTTCTATTCTTTGTTCTAAACAATTCTAAAACAAAGTTCATAGAAATGTCAATCCAAAGAAGAGAGAAGAAAAATCTTTTATTCTCTATGAATTTTAGTTTATAATGAGTTTGTTTTCTCACTAAGTCAAAAAGCCCAAAATTAGAAAAGCTCAAAATATCTATTTTAGATCTAAGTCGAAATCATGTGTGAAGCAACCTCCTTCGACACTTCGACAACTATATACAACTCGATAGATTAAATTTTTTGACACACATTATGTCGAGAAACAACCTGCTTCGACACAAGGAATTACACTTTCAACACACAATCTAGTTCGTTGTGTCTAAGCTATCTATATTCATCATAGCTCTTAATCTTTTGAATACTTCGACCAACACTCCTTCGTCATGATATGTGCAATCTGATTCTCAGTTCTGCAGTGTTTCAAGTTCACCTTCCCATCTTCTACCTGCTCTCGAAGATAATGGAACAACATCTTGATGTACTTGCTTCGACCATGTGCTATCAGATTCTTCGTCAGGTTGATAGCTGACATGCTCTCAATCTTCATGGTAATTGCTCCATAATCTTTCCATGTGATTTCTTCGACCAAGTTCATCATCCACGTTTCTTAACATGCACAAAGAGTAGCAGCGATGTACTCTACTTTGCACGATCATAATGTCACTACTGGTTCCTTTCTCAAACTTCAAGCAACTAGTGCACCACCTAACGTAAACACATATTCTGTTGTGGATTTTTAATCCTCAGCATCATTACATCAAATTGAATCAGTGTATCCCACTAACTTGCATTCTTTTCCTTTATCAGCTGCAGGAAATAAAATTCCATAGTCAAGAGTTCCTTTTAGATATCTCAGTATCCTCTCTGCTGCTGATAGGTGTGATACATTTGGCTTCTGCGTGAATATACTTACCATACCTACATTGTATGCTAAGTCATGTCTTATGTGACAAAGATATCTTAATAGCCGAATAAGTCTTCTGTATTAAGTTGGGTCGATATCATCTTCATTTGCATCTTTCGACAATTGCAGTATTGGTTTTGCAGGTGTCATAGTCGAGCTGCATTCTTCCATCTCAAATCTCTTAAGAACTTCTCTTGCATATCTACTTTGATGCATCATCAAACCGTTACTACTCCTGTAGAATTAGATGCCAAGAAAATATGAAATGTCACCCAGATCAGACATTTCAAATTTCTTGCTGAGATCTCCTTTAAAGTATTCGATCTCCTTCTTGCAGCTGTCTGTTATTAACAAATCATCGATATAGAGACATAGTATAAGAAATTCAATATTGCTTCTTCTTACATATACTCCATGTTCACTTTTGCACTTCATAAATTTCTTCTCCTTTAGGAAACTATCAATCTTCTTGTTCCAAACTCTTGGAGTTTATTTGAGTCCATACAGGGATTTATACATCATGTACACCTTTCTCTCTTCGTCGTGCTTCACAAACCTAATTGGTTGTGCAACATAAACTTGTCCGTCTAAGGGTTTATTCAGGAATGCAAACTTCACGTTCATATGACATATGTGCCAACTGTTCATTTTTTCTAGACCAACAACCAATCAGATTGTTTCAATTCTAGCAACAAGTGCAAAAACTCCATCGAAGTCGATTCCTTCCGTCTGAAGAAATTCTTTCGCCATAAGTCTTGTCTTGTGTCGAGTTACTTCCCATCTAGGATTCAAATTCACATTGTATACCCACTTCACATCGATTACCTTCTTGCCTTGAGGAAATTCGATAAGTGGCCAGGTGTTGTTGTTTTTGATGAACTTCACTTCTTCATTCATTTCTTTCACCCACTTCGAATCCTTCAATGCTTCAACTGCATTGATTGGTTCGACATCTGCATAGAAAGCATAATATACTAGCTAACCTTCATTATCAACCACATCATCTGATATAATCACATAATCTTGCAACTTACCAGGCATGTGTCTTGTTCTCTAAGGTTTTCTTGTACCTTGTTGATCTCTAACTTCTTTTTGTTGATCTTCTCTTTTGACTTGAGATTATGTTTCTTCAAGTAAGATTCTCACTGAATCTTTCTTGACATTTTCAGTCCAATCCCATTCTTTAAGCTCATCTATGAAGGGTGAGAAAACACTTAGAATTGGGGGAGGGGGGGGGGGGGGTGAATAATTTTTTCCTTTTTCTCGCACAATAATAATGGAAGGACACGGGTAATTTTATCCTGGTTCGTTTGAAACTCAAACTACTCCAGTCCACCCGCCAAGGTGATTTCGCCTCTCTCAACGAGGACTTAATCCACTATAATCAAAACTGATTACAAATGCACAACCAAACTATTGTGACTAATAATACAATGTACAAGCCAATTGCAAGTGACTAACACCTCTAAGACTCAACTAGTCCTAGTCCTCTTGAGAAATCTGACCCAACTGGTCTCTCAAGGAACAATTACAAAGATTATCTCTTAACAGTAGTGAATCAGAATGCTTCTAATAAGCTATATCACAAACTGTGATTTATCACTAAGATTTTAGCCCAGTACTTAAGAATTACCCACTATATACAAAGAGTTTATAAGAATGAAAATAGTGAGCTTCAGTATATTTTGTGTGGATCAGTAACGTTGCTTTGAAACAAATGGTCTTATATATATAACTTCAAATTTTGACTGTTACTGCCTTGAAGAGAGTGTATGCATTAATGATTCATGTTAGCTTGACCTTTATGTTTTCAATGCTCTCGTGCATAGTACCACTTGAGTGCGTTAGCCGTCTTAGCATTAAATGATCAACGGTACTGTCAAAGCTTGTCTCTGGAAGTTTAAGAGTTTGCTCGCAGCATTACAACATCAGAGTTTGCTTTAACTTTTCTTCTATCAGAGTTTGCTATATCACTTCTTCTGTCAGAGTTTTCTTCATTTTATGTTCATCAAAGTTTGCTTCAGCTTGCATTATCAGATATTGCTTTCAGTGTGCTTCTTTCAAATCTTTGCTTCAGCTAGCTTTATCAGAGGTTGCTTAAGATTACTTTTTATCAGAGTTTACCTTGGAGTGTTTCCTTCAGAGTTTGCTTCAGACTTGCGTTTACATAAAATTTCTTAGGAACTTCTTTATCCTTTTTCTGCTCAGCGTAGAATGATGTTTCACTTCTGAGAATGCTTGAATCAGAACATCATATGAATTAGAAAACATGCACACCAGAGTATAAAATATATTATACAAAATTCATTTCATTGTTATCATCAAAACTCTAAGATATGATTAGAATCAAACTTTGTTCTAACAATCTCCCCCTTTTTGATGATGACAAAATAATTTAGATTTAGATTTTTTAAAATTTTTGTACAAGAGTGAGAATCTCCCCCTGAGATTGATAATCTCCCCCTGAGATAAATATTTCTTCTTCTGAAATAAATAATAAAAGAACTTAAATGCATAAGAGAAACTTCCTGAGATTGTTCTTCAGAGCTTTGGGACATTTTTCTTTCAGAGTTTCTTTAAGAGCTCCAGATCTTTTCTTCAGAGTTTCTTTAGTAGATATTTACCAGATGATGTTTAGAACTTAGTCTTTCAGAGTCTTGATGTACCTGTGTATCTATTAAACAGGAACAAACTTTGTATTTTGTTAGGAATGTTTGAGATTTAGTCCCATAACTGCTATCATGGATCAGATCAAAATCACATTTTCTCCCCCTTTTTGTCATAATCAAAAAGAAAAAAAAATTAAAGAGATTCAAAATATTTTTATATAGAAGATGTCAAAGGACAGAAGTACAAAAAAATTAAAAAATGGGAAAAATAAAACTAAGATTAGCGATAGACAAGAGAAAGAAGAAGATTCTTGATTTCTGTTGAGGATTCTTCTTGTTTCATCATCCAAGTTCTGATTTCTTTGTTGGTTTTATCCTGTTTGGATTCCTCTTGAGAGAGAGAGAGAGAGAGAGAGAGAGAGAGAGAGAGAGAGAGAGAGAGAGAGTAAAAAGTAAAAAAGGAATTTTCCAAAGTATTTATAGCTTATGAAAAAGAATTTTAAAGTAATAAAACAGTTAAAGAATTTAGAACAATTGAATTAAAAAAATTAATCATTACAAGCAATTAATGAGTTTTGACATTGAGGGGATGCGTGATATTTGATCAAATATGAACAGTTATCTAGGAACGACGTCTCAATAGCAGTGCACGCATGCGTGACCTTTCAGAGTTGAAAAACGCGTTCAACTTCTGAGGATAGCGTGTGTGATACGGTGGGAGAACTGACTAGTGTTTTGCGTTCGTATTCGCACTTGTGCGGTTGAGCAAGAGTCGCCACCGACTTTTTATTTTATCCTAAAGGAAAGGTTAAAAAAGCACAGCAAAAACCTTTTGAGATATTTCGTGGGTTCGGGGGGTAGATTATGAAAAGGGAAGGTATTAGCACCCTTTTCATCCATGGTTATCCATGGGCTCTTAGTTACTTGGTTTTTTAGATCACTTGCCTTGTTTTTCGATCGCTTTGAAAATGGTGTGTGTGTGGGCGCTTTTTGAAAATGTTTTGGAAAAAGATGCCTTGTCTTAGGCAACTAATGTATTTGACTCGTGTTTGAGTGTTTTACAAAAGTGTGAATCTTTTCGAAAAGATGTTTTCAAATGTTTTTGAGAGTTTGTTTGAAAGTGTTGTGGATTGTGGTTTTTGAAAAGAAGGCAAGTATTTTTGCAAGTTTGATCTCAAGTAACTAAGAGTTTTGTCTACCCTATTGTACTCAAAGGTTTTTGTCATGTTTTAACCCCTTTTAA